GATTCCCTCTGTTTGGTTTGATTGGCCAAACTATGTGTGTTGAAAATTCAAATATGTGAATTGTACATATATGATGTATCATGTATCAATAAGTGATAGACCATAGGCCAGGCAAAGCGATGACAATTACCCATGATAGATGTAACATTTCTCAAAAGTGAAAACACTGGCAATAGTGAATCGCATATCAAAGTTATCATGTTGTTCACCTATTGTGATGATTAGTTCAGTTATCTCTTTTAATTGAATTACCATGTCCAATTGAATATTTGTTATGGCTATAGACAGCCTAAGGGGTGATTGTTTATGGAATAATTTGTTCAAAATGAATTATTTTAGTTAACCATAATTAATTTTGAAAAAGATGGTATGGTTAGTTATTAGTGGAATTTTAACAATGTATTAAAATAATATTTAAAATAAAATGATTAAAATTGATTTGATGTAAAAGTAGGAGATATATGATTGAAAATGATTGGAAATGATAGGTAGTTAAAATTATGTGAGTGGATGAATAGTGAGTTAAAGTTGATGTGATGTGTAAGAATGATTGGTTTGTATAATTTAATTATATGAATAATATTAAAGATAGTGGGATTGAGTTAAAGTTGATTTAAATTTTAAGTATGAATTGAATGAGAATGAAATAATTTATAAGCTTAGTCATTAGGAAATGTGAGCTGTTAAAGAAAATGGTGATAAAATATTTTTCTTCTTAGTGTCTGCCTTGTTTGCTCCTGGGGGGACAGAGAAATTTCTGGGAAGCTATATAATTCATTTCTTTAAGTTTTCAATTTTCTCTTTCATTTTTTCTAGTTGTTTTTAGTACACGCTACAGACATTTGAAGTTGGTTTAGGAATTTATCATGTTCAGGAATTTAAAAATAACTTTAAGTGGGTTCTCTTTCATTTTTCCAAGTTGTTCTTCTTTTTAGTCCATGCTACATAAATTTGAGGCTGTTTTAATTATGTATCAATAATAACTGTATGGTGATCTAATTAAGTGATGTTCTGTCAATTTCTAATTTATAGTATTATGATATTTTAATATCGTTGACTTAATTGGTTTTGTGGCTCATATAGAGTAAGATGCCAATTTTCTTACATGTTTGAGGTCAATTGTCAGGTCACCCTCGTATCATCCACAGAGATATCAAGTCGTCAAACATCCTTCTAGATAAAAACTTTGAAGCTCGGGTATCTTGAGTATATGTTGTTTTTTTTCTTCAATCTCAATTTACTTTCTCAGAACACATGCATAGGAACGTATCACTTTTCACTACTTTTACCTCCAATACATTATTCATCAGTTTCTTCTTCGAGCTCAATTTTTTTTACATTAATACACTTCCTCAAATCACAAAAGAAGAATAAAAAAATACAAAAAAATGAAAAGAAAGAAAGCAAATATATATATAGGATGTGGTTCAAATGAGAACCAAGTCCTAACGTGAGAACCGTGAGAACCGCTATTTTTAATTGTATGTAGTGCTATGATTAATTGTGTTTTAGTGCTATTTTTAACTAGGATGTATTTGATTAAAAATAACAACAAAATTTTTATTAGCATTTATGAAAATGATAGCACCATGTAATATTAAAAATAGCATCATACATAATTAAAAATAGCATCAAATATGGTTCTCACGGTTCTCACACCAGACATAGTTTTTATTTGAACCACCATATATATATATATGTATATTATATCGACAATTTTGTATTTTCGCGACTTACATTTGCTTTCTTTAGGTTTCTGATTTCGGACTGGCCAAATTATCCTTAGATGCAAATACACACGTTACAACGCGCGTTATGGGAACTTTTGGGTAAGTTGACGTTTGAAAGAGTTTTTCGTGTTCAACAATTTTCGAGATATACTTATCTCCATTCTAACACCAGAGCTTGGTTGAGGTCTCAGGTATATGGCTCCTGAGTATGCATCCTGTGGCAAGTTGACCGAAAAATCTGACGTATATTCCTATGGAGTCGTGCTTTTGGAGTTAATTACTGGACGCAAACCTGTAGACATGTCTCAGCCTTTTGGGGAAGAAAATCTTGTTGAGTGGGTAAGTTCAATTATACAGAATAAAAAAGTGCTATTTTCACCCTCATTACCATTGAGGCATAAAATATGTTTGTCGGTGAGCTGGAAACACATCAGCCTTTATTTCCGATTTTGACTTCCGAAAATCTATTTTCTCTCAGGCTCGACCCTTGCTATTTCATGCACTCCAGAGGCGTGAGTTTTCGGTTCTGGCAGATCCGAGACTTCAACTACGTTACAATGGTAGTGAAATGTTCCGGATGATTGAAGCTGCATCTGCTTGCGTGCGGCATTCATCAGCAAGGAGACCCAAAATGGGACAGGTAAACGATATGGATTCTTAAGGGGAAAAAAAAAGGAACATAAATACAAAAAAGAGCCCATGAGGTTTAACTTAATTACAAAGTAATAAAGCTAACTTTTAAAAGTTTATTGGCTAAATATACAACGTAATTTTTACTACTTAGGGAGCGATTGGATATGAGTTATAACTGGTTTTAACCGGTTATGACCGGTTGAGTTATTTTACATCCACTCATCTAATAACTCAAAATCCAACTCAACCCAATTCTCATATTTTTTTATAAATATAATTAAATAATTCCAATCAATCATTCTCACACATCACATCAACTTTATTTCACTATTCATCCACGTAGGCTTCGTTTGGATTGAAGGATTTATTGATGGATTTGAAATCTATAAATTTTAAATTTATAAGTTCAAATCCCCATGCATGTTAGGATGGTGATGGAAGTTGGAGGATTTCAAATTTATGCTAGATATTGTTTAGTCATTATTTTGAAGGATTTTAAATGACTCCTCAAACCTAGTCATTTGAAATCCACTGTTTATCATCGTTGACGACCACGTCGTCCGCGATCATTTAGGTTAATCACCACCGCGAGTCAACACCATCGGTGCGAGCTAGACAATTGATTTATAATATTTTTAACACATCCATTCAAATTCAAGGAGCAAGTAAAAAAATTATATTTCAAAAATTTTGAAATCAAGGGATTTCAAATCTCTCAAAACAAACGTAGCCTTACATAATTTTAACTACCTATCCTTTCTAATAATTTTTGTCCTACTTTTATATCACATCAACTTTAATCATTATATTTTAAATATTATTTAATTTCAAACTCAAAATCATCCACACAATTTGCTTTATTCAAAATAACTCAGTTTACTTTAACCAAACATAACCAATCAAAACCGGTTGGATTCATATCCAATCGCGCCCTTATTTATTTTTTCGGTAAAACCTAACTGTTACTTTTGCAACTAACCCATAATTGCGTAGTATATCCTTGAGGTTGGACCTAACCATGAAAAAACAAGGAAAGTATTGTTCTTTTCGTATTCATACACGCTATTTACGGTTGCCCTTTTCTCCTTTTCTTTTTCATTTTTTTTTCCAACACGCGTCATATTGATCTTTTCCTAGGTTGCGAGGGCTTTGGACTGCAGAGACATGGCGGATTTGACAAATGGGATGAAAGTAGGGGAGAGTGGAATGTTCAACTGCACGCACGAGTCAGACGAGATTAGGTTGTTTAGGAAAATGGCATTTGGTAGTCAAGATTATAGCACAGGTTTTTTCGTGCAGGATTGTTGGAGCATCGAGGGCGATTGCGTAAATAGCCATAGGCGAGTGGTGCAATGAAAACTCCAAAAGAGGGGACTTCGTTCGATTGCGTTCGAATCCGTGTATGAAATGCAAATGGCGATTTTTGTTAGCTTTGGTGAGTGAAAAGTATATATTGTTTGCTTTGTGGTCCAGTTTGTTGTAAATCTAATCTTACAGGATGAGCTCTTTTTGTTTCTTTTTCTTTTAGCTTTGGTCAATTTACTTTTAACATGTGAATAGGAAAAATTGTTGGCCTTCTGTATTATATGTGTGTGTGCGGTGAAGTTCAGTTTGGTTTTTGCTCTTCATCTTGAGGTTGGTGTTTCAATTTTAATAAATATATATGTATTTATTTTATATCTATAGTTGTACCAGTGACATTTATTTAAATTATTAGCATTGGGATTTTCAATTATATTAACTGATATTTAAGTGTTCTTGGGCACTCTTTGTCCGTAAATATAGAAAATTAATACTCTCCTATTCTTTTTATTTGTTATTTTGGTTTTATTGATTATTAATTTAATCAAATAAATAATATTTTTTATCTTTTATACATATCTTTTCATTGTTTTTCTCATTTAATTATTACACTATACGTTTTGGAAGGAAAGTTGTGGAAAACGATGAGTGTTCTCTCTTAAAAAACATAAAAAAAGAGGTTGAAAAGAAAGAAATTAATTAATGTTAAGCTGCTTTAAATAAGACTGGTAAGAAAAAAAAATCTTAATTTATGTGTTAAAAGTATATAACGACATTTAGAAAGAATAGGAGGTAATACTTGTCCGTGAGGCCACAGTTGATTTGAGTCACCCATGTAGATCAAAGGTGAAAAACACAATCTTTCCAATAAAAAATTAGGAGTAACTGGACTATGGCACATATTACCTAATAAGTAAAATAAACTAAAATGAAACACGAGAGTAAGGCAACAAATATTCAAATTTTCATAATGAACTTTAACTCTACGAACAAGTACGACATTATATAAGAGCATCTCCAATGCTCTAATATTGTAGTAGGATAAATTTTGACAAATGTCAAAAAATTAAATAGATTGTGAGTCATGTAAGACAAATGTTGAGTTCACAACTATTAAATTAAAAAATCATTTTCAATACACAATGTAGTCAAATTACAATATTATCTACTTGCCAAATATTAAAATTTTAATATGAATTAATAAAATTAATCAAACAATTAAATAGTTTAAAAATGGTAATACTAATTCTCTCTCTTCTTTTCGTTGACTAGTTAGAGTGTGGAGGAGAATGTGGATGAACCACATTCTTCTCTACATTGTAGACATTAATTATGTCCACATCATCACAATATTTGTGATCACATTGTACATTGGAGGATGGAAAGTTGTGATATTAATAAATGTGTCGATGTGGAATGTAATTTGCCACTGCAACACTGAGCATTGGAGATGCTCTAATGGATCATGGATGTGTATTTTTATTTTAAAGAAATTGTGGTTGATTAAGCTAACAGTTAGATATCATAACATCATGAAAAATCAATGTCAAGAATGCCAAGTGTGCTTGTTTCACTAAAAAAAAATGATTTTAATCATATATCACTCTTATGATTTATGAAGGGACATTCTATGTTTAGGAAGAAACATATGAGGCAAACTTAATATACTGGTGAAAAAATAAAATGAGCTTTTAAATGGTTTTCTGTTTGAAATTTTGTCTAAAATCTAAACAATCGTGGTGGTTATTATTATTATTATTATTATTACTGTCATTATTAATTATTATGTTTTTTTGTGTTCGTGTGAGTTTCCTTTCTTTTCACTATTTATTTTCCTTTGTAATTTTCTTCTCTTTTGTTGTTGGTGCATGAATAATAATGGGCTGGTTATATTTTTTTTTNCCTATAATTATTTACATAATTAACCATATGTTGTCATGTTTAAATAGATGTTTTTGTAATTCACACTATCAGTTATTGAGATGACTGAACGTAAGAACATGTGCAAGAATACACCGCTCTTGACTTTTAGATCAACAATTTTTTCTTTTTTGTCTAGTAGAATTCCAATTCTCAAATATAGGTATGTCAAAAAATGTCTACACCATAGTTTGAATTATTGATTTATGTAACATAAATTCATATGCATCAAATCTTGTGGTAATAAGTGATGACCCAATTAGGCTTCAATAGATATAACTTTATTTGAGTGAAATTTTGAAAGAATGATAGTGGGAGAAATAGCAATCATTTTAATTCAAAGCGTGACAGAAATAATAATTAATTGGAATGTTTTAAAAGTAATAGTGATTAACAGTTATAAATATAAGAGTAAATTAATAATATTTTTTAATTAAATAATTGTAATGGTTAATTTTCAATTTAACCATCATCACCAACCAATAAAGAATCACTAAGCAATAGACTCTCGTATCAAACTTACAAAACTCAACCACCATCACCAACCAATCCCATAGCAATGACACATCTAAGAAAATGATTCTTACGGTTACATAATCAATCTGGGCCTCAATAGAAGTTAACAAAAAATTAATTGATAGGAACTTATCAATTTTGAGGAGGTGAACAAGGCAATCTTTAAATTAGTGTTTTATTGGTAGTTTAAGATAGTTGAGGAAAATTGTCTGAGCATTTTGAGAAGCAGAACCCGCAACTGCCACGGGTTCGGATTATTTGTTTGCCGCACTATTAGTAAAATGATGAAAATAAGAATACAAGATTGTGTAACATAACAAACTCTACTAGTGTCCATGTCCGATCTTATAAAAACATAAGCCAAAAAAAAGTGAATACTGGCATTTATGTCTTGCTACCTGCTTAAAATTACATTACATAAGCAAGTTTTCATGTTTGCCTGGAATTTGAACTAGAAACCGTTGGATCCCACAAATTTCGAAAATTGGTACAAGTCGAAAAAAAAATCTTCTATCAGAGAATGAAAAAGCTGTTTACCATCCTTCATACTGCAAGGACATAGAAAATTAAAAACAGAGCCCGAAAAGCTCAAAGTGAGAATCCAAAGTTTAACTCAAGTTGTGATTATGGCGTGATCTCATCACCAAACCATACAATTCATGAGCAAAAAGACATACCTTCTATTTTTCTCAAACACTCATCTTAAATAGGTTAAACTCTTAAATTTTATTAATTTATTTCATTTATTTTCAGACATTAGATTTTGTTTTAATTTATGTTTAATCAAGGGCTGAAATTTAGCTTTAGGGGTTGCTGTTAGTTAACCACAACAGCTCCCGTACCCAATGGAGTGCGGAGTAAAATATATTTTATTATTTAAATATTAATAAATTATTAAGACCCTATGCAATTTTATTAGACACAATATTCAATTCAATAATAATATAAAATTTATTTATTTACTATTATTATTTTTTTATTAATTTTGTTATAGGTCTTGACTATTTAATATATAAATTTTAGTATTTCTAAGTTTATTAAATATTATAAATGTATAAAATCATATGATATTTACATACAAATTACTTACATGTATTTATAAATTGCCGATTAACTTAGTCTTATTTAACAATTTAATTTTTATATTGTTCGATAATTGAACAACGTGTAGCTCATAATATTTTGTTATAGGAAGAATGGTATATGGTAAGTTAAGGAAAAATGAAAGCTAATCCGGTATAATACATACAAACGGATTATGGTCATTTATTTTTTTTACTTTTTTGCATTTGGTATATACATTTTTATATATAAATATATATATCTTATATTTGCTAATCCGGTAATACCACCGATATTATCGGTCCTACCGGTAATACCGCGTACCGGTGGCTCGACCGGTATGACCACCGGTACGATATTTAAAACACTGCGCTCTACTTTTAGATCAACATTTTTTTCTTTTTTGTCTAGTAGAATTCCAAATCTCAATTATAGGTATGTCAAAAAAATGTCTACACTATAGTTTGAACTATTGATTTATGTAACATAAATTCATATGCATCAAATTTTGTGGTAATAAGTGATGACCCAATTAAGCTTCAATAGATATAACTTTATTTGAGTGAAACTTTGAAAGAATGATAGTGGGAGAAATAGCAATCATTTTAATTCAAAGCGTGACACAAATAATAATTAATCGGAATGTTTTAAAAGTAATAGTGATTAACAGTTATAAATATAAGAGTAAATTAATATTCCCTCCATTTTGAAATATAAGGCATTTAAGGTTATTGCACAAATATTAAGGAGACATTAATTAATGAATAAATTGACTAAATTAACCTTATTTACTCTAATCACAACCACTCCACACTTCCTTAATTTCAACACAATGAGGGTATATTTGGAAAAAAATGTAAAAATTTGTCTTGATTTTTTAACGCGCGCCTTATATTTCAAAAAAATTGAGAAATCTTTATACGTCTTATATTTCAAAATGGATGGAGTAATATGTTTTAATTAAATAATTGTAATGGTTAATTTTCAATTTTAAAACTGTATTGAAAAATGTGAGTAGAATGAAGTGAACTTGGTGGACCTCTTCTATGAATCCTATCGGTGTTGGCAATGTGTACAATGAGGTTTAAGTCGTTGAATTATTACAATGTGTGTGGAAGGATGGAGTAATCCATAAAATTAATTAATATTGTATTTTCTAATTAGTGAACGAAATAATAATATTTAAAACATATTCAACTGCACCATTTTTAGTATTTTCAATATCCAAAGAAATAAAAAATATAAAAATTACTTAATGCTTATAGATTGCACAAGTTTGCAATTGACTATTGGAAACTTCTAGACTTCTAGTGTTTTTGAAATTGTTATATCCATTGGGATGCAACTAATGGTAAAAAAAGAAAAAGAATTGAACTACTATTCGAATTAAAATAAGTCTAGTTTAATCAGTTAATTAAACTTGCTTATCATAATGAGTCGAACCAATTTTGATAATGAACCGAATTTTGAACGGACATTTCGTATATAGAAATACACCTACAGTCATTTCTATGTCTTACCATGATTCATGAATAGGTCACATGTACTTTTTAATAAATTATCCTTAAATTTTCCCAAAAAAATAAAAAATATCACTCCACGCGCTTTCTCTTTATTATCAATCAGTATATATTTATCTCCCATAAAAACCAAACACACCCGTAACAAATTTGAAACTGCCCAAAAACCAAGTTGAGCCAACAAAATAAACCAAAAAGGAAAAAAAAAAAGGGAAGAAAATCTCTCTCTTTCTCATCCCCAAATTTTCCCGGCCAAATCGCGATGACCAAGCTCCAATCGGAACAGATCCGGCAGCTCCACGACATCTTCAAGCGGTTCGACATGGACCACGACGGTAGCCTCACCCAGCTCGAGCTC